CTCAAAAGTAAGAGGAGCACTTCCAAAAGGAAAGGTTACACTTAGATTCAGAATGATAAAAATGTCAAATTTACAACTTAGCAAGATGATGACAATAACACAGACAAGATAGGGGACTTTGACAAGTTGATCAATAAAGACAGATCTAAGACAGAAACAAAACAACAGCAAAGAGACAGATCTAGGGGAATCTCATCCCTTTACACGGTCTTTTAGACAGTCCTGTGTATCCTGAGGAGCTTATGCAGAAATCCCGTTTGTATTTGACTGGATGTTTGAATGGTACTTCACACTTAAAATCCTTTGACCTCAGTTGAGAAAAAGGGAATTTTCCTGGCCTTCAAAGGCAGCCCCATCTGAATTGCTGGTGTTTTCATGCTTCCAATGTTTTGAGTCTTTTTCAGAATTCCGCTCAGAATTGGGGTGGGCTTTGTACTATAGTCCATAGTCTCCGCCCATGCCTGGAGCCCTGTGTTCTCAGGCTCCTCCGCTCCTGCTAGAAGACAGGTGGATCCTCAGAGCAGCATAAGGAGCTTTCTTCCACCTGCTCAGTCAGGGGCTTTACATGGATTGTGGAGCTGTAGCTACAAAGTACTAAGTTGTAGGACGTCACTGTTGGGACCTGTCAGTGGGCCGATCAGTGGGTCACCAGTGGCCAGAGATGGTCAGTAGAATCATTTCTTTCCCTACACTCTAAATCAAGACAGACAGACTGTGTGGTGCACAGAATGGTGAAGAGATGCAGTTTACATGAGAAAGTGTTGAAGTATCATTTGGTTGCCTTATGAGACCAAGTACTGGAAATCAGGACTGTTCTGAAAGTTCCATCATGAAAGAAGGAACCTGTGTCATGACTTAGGTGCCTTTTCACATTTTCTCCATGTGCAAGGGACTTGCCTAAACAATGTCCCCTGGATATTTATTTATGTACTCTTATGAAGCTCTTAGACAAGTTCACCAAACCTATCTACTCTCATGGTTAGATGCAAGTTCTTTCCACATTGTTAGTTTCAGGGTTCATTGTTCATTGATGAAAATGTTTTGGTCCAGGTGTGGTGGCACACATTTGTAATCCCAGCACTTGGGAGGCTGAGGCAGGAGGATTGCCATGAGTTTGAGGCCAGCCTGGGCTACATAGTGAGTTCAAAATCAGCCTGAACTACATACACTCTATCTCAAAAAATTATTTTGGGCTACTTGTTTAATTAATTAATTAATTAATTATATTTTCTTAATGGTCTTCAAGGAAATTGAAACAAAATTAGAAGTCTGGCGATGCTGATGTACAAAGTGGCATGGGTGCAAGGAGGTAGATTTGGTTGGTGGTGCGGACTAGTGTACAGTCTAGGACTGTGGGGCACCTGGGGTAACCATGGGCCCAACATGCTTAGCACCCTTGCTCCTTGGACCCACACCAATTATCACTCCAAGAGGGGAAAACGGGTGAATTGTCATTTTTCTCCATTTAATACAACTTCACCAGCCTCTAGTCCATCACCTGCTGGGAGCACCTGCTCCCGCACTGATTTATTGAGGAGGCTTGTTGGTATGGGCCTGGTTGCTTCTTCCTGACTCGTTATGACTGCAATCTTGCCACCAGTCTTCAAGAAAGGCAGCAGACTTGTAGGCCCTTAGCGGTGCATTCTTCTCTAGGAAGATCTCATAGGAACTGCCTTAGGTATCTCAAGCACAATAAGTCTTCCTTTACTGGTAGAACTGTGGGAGTAGGAGTTGCAAGGAACTCCTCAGGGATAGTGGTTGGGTCCCCAGCATGGTTGTCGGGACCTGATACACTGGAGGGTCTATCCTCCACTTTGGCTTCATCAGCCAGAGCAAACATATCTTTCACTGCAATTGCAAAATCGTTCACTGTGCCCTGATTTCTTGTTTACCTGGCTCTGAGCTTGTCCTCTGCATCTGATTCCTCTCATTCCATTGGAATGGAAATCCTGTCCTTGGATGTGGGGAGTAATTGGTTGAGCTGGTGCTAGTGGAGTAGGGGCAATGGTGTGTCTCATGTTGTATGCACTATAGCTGCCACTTGCCCCTAGAGCCCTACTGGAGCATCCTAGTCTGCCTGAGTTGCTGCTTGTGGTGTGGTGAATGTGCCAGCATTGGCATCTGCTTGTTGTCTGGCCATCAGCCTCTCAAGCAAATCTCAGTGTATCTTATGTTCCTCTTCCTCTGCTCCCAGTTGATGTCTTCCTTGGTTCAAGCAAACTCAAGGAGGACCTCTTTTTCCTCAGCCCTGAGCTCAGGGTTGTTTTGTATTTCTCTCTTAAATTTCAACTCTTGCAATTTTAGCTCAGTGTCATAGGCTGCCTCTGTTAAGCCTGAGTATCACGCATCAATGGTGCCAAGGTACTTGGATACAGAGAAGAAACTCCTAAGGCAATAGCCAATAATTTTGGAAACTGCTCATGTTCTATGTGAGCAATGCCTGGTAGACAAGGAGATGTGCAAAGGGAGCATGTATTCCATGTCTCTGCAGAAATCTGATGCAGTGTTTGAATTGAGTTGGCTCTTCCCAAGATAGCCGGGCCTTTGATAGTGGGGTATACTCGAATCCTGCTACTAATATTTACAATAATATAGGTGAACCTATTGTAAACCACAAGCAATCCAGAAAAGTGAGACTGCCCCGCTGATCCAGCAATTATGGTGTCAGTAGAATCTTGGAGCAGTGGGATTTGTACCAGATCTAGGGCCCTCGCCTGCTGAAAGTATGGCACGCATGATGAGGGACTATTTTGGAAATCCATAATGGTATTCCTTGTTTAAATACTTTATAAAATTGGCACCCTTTGCTCTTCCTTTCTTCTCTTCCATAGCTTGTGAACTTAATACTTCTGAAATACAAGTCAGGCGTTACTGAAATATTATTTATAAGAACACATCAATGCTCTTCTAAACAGTGGTACCAGGTGACACAGCAGAATTTTACAGTGTGAATGGAAAAATTACTCTGTGGACAGTCACAGTAAAGACTGGTCAGAAGGCGCAGGGCTGTCCTAGACATTCTACCACCGGCATCACCCATAGGGTGAGGTAGACTGTGGGCCCCTGAGCCAAGCAACATATCCTGATGCCCAAGGTTCAAGAAAATGAAGCAGTTGCTCAGCTTTTCTCAAAGGCCTAGCAAAGTCTCATTGTGAGGTTGGACCTAGGCCATGGGGATTCAGGGGAGGCATAGGAGTCCAGACTGGATGACCATTATCGATAAGAAATCTCATCTATTCATTTCTCATGCATTGACGTGCATTTTGTTTCTTCTTTGTGCTGGCCTCTGTGACTGTATTATAGCTATAGAAATGGTCAAAATTTGGTCCTTATGTTGAGGCCACAGCCTTACAAACAAGGAATCAAGTTGAGGCAGGATTACATGAGAATGCGAAGGTGCCATCCTGGAGTCAATGGGACTGGGGCTTCTGCGTTCTCCAGCTGAGGTTGGGGAGTTCATGAGATGCGCTCACTGGAGTGGGTTTCTGCTCTTTTTTCTTTTTTTTGGACGTATAATTGTTTATTGGTACATTTTAGATATACACAATGATCATATTCATCATAGGGAACTTATACACGTACACGGTATGTTTCTCTACTTTTCCCAACCTCCTCTCCTCCCTTCATCGCCTCTTCCTCTCCCAATTTGCTTCCATTTTATCCTGTTTTCAGTTGTTTTTGTCCCTTCTTTCCTTTCTCCCTTCTCTCACCCTAGTTCTTCTCTCCTTTTGAACAACTTCTTCCCATTTTCCCAACATACAATATCTATTGTATGTTTTGGTCTTTATTTTCCCTTTCAGTTCCTCCTACCAGGGAGACAGTGTAGTTTACACAAATGAGTCCAATTCATTTCACTTGAGCATGGTCTCAAGTTGCATCTGTTTACCTAGAAATGTCTCAAGTTTATCTTTCTTTATGGCAGAGTAGTACTCAATTACATATTAAAAAAAACAACTACATCTTTTTTATCCATTCCTCAGATGATGGGCATTTGGGTTTTTTCCAAGATTTAACTATTACTAACTGTGCCACTATAAACATGGGTGCACATATGTCTCTATGGTTCAGTGTTTTTTATTCTTCTGGGAAGATATCTAGAAGGGAATAGTAAAATGGAATCTCTAATTCTAGTTTTCTGAGGAGTTGCAATACTGATTTCTACAGGGGTTGCATTAGTCTACACTCTTGCCAACAGTGGAGAAGATTACCTTTTCTCCTGTAGCCCCTCTAGTGTTTGTTCTTAATTTCTTAATGATAGCCGTTCTTTCTCGGGTGAGATGAAATCTCAACACTGTTTTAATTTGCATCTCTCTAATAACTGGTGATATTGAACATTTTTTCATATATGTGTTTGCCATTTGTATTTCTTCATCTGAGAAGTATATACTCATCTCAGATGTCCATTTTTGGACTGGGTCTTTAAATTTGGGAGATCTGATTTTTTTTCCAGTTCTTTGTATATTCTAAATATAAATCCTTGTCTGAAGGACAAGTGGTTAAATTTTTTCCCACTCTGTGGGTTGTCTTTTTACTCTGCTGGAGATTTCTTTTGTGCAAAAGCTTTTTAATGGGATGTGATCCCACTTACTGATTCTTTGTATTATTTCCTGTGAAATCTGGTTTTCTTCATGAAATCTTTGCATACACTTATGTCTTCAAGAGTTCTCCCTTTTCTCTATTCCAGCAGATTTAATGTTTCTGTTTTATTATTTACAACTTTGATCCATTTTGATTTTAGTTTAGTGCATGGTGATAGAGATGGGTCCAGTTTTAGTCTTTTGCATGTGGAAAGTCAGTTTTTCCAGCACCATTTATTAAAGAGGCTATCTTTCTTCCAGTGAATGTATTTGGCTCCTTTGTCAGAGATAAGGTAGCTGAGTGTATTTGGAGTTGTTTCTGTATCTTCTAATCTGTTCCACTGGTACTTAGGTCTTTTTTTTTTTTTTTTTTTGCCAGTACCTTGTTGTTTTTATCACAGTAGCTTTGTAGTATAATTTCAAGTCAGGAATTGCGATACCTGCTGCCTTGTTTTCATTGCCAAGAATTGTTTCTGCTATTCTAGGTCTCTTCTGCTTCCAAATGAATTTTAGGAATGTTTGCTGTAGACACCACCTCAAGTAGCACAGGAGGAAGGGAGCAGAGCTCAGCTTTCCAGCAAAGGGCACCATCTCTGGGTTTTGTGCGTGTGTGTGTGTGTGTGTGTGTGTGTGTGTGTGTATATGTGTGAAGGCTCCTGTCTCTGGAGAATTGAAAATCACAGCAGGCAATCTGGAGAATCAGATGGGAGAAATGGAATAGGAGCTTGGAACACAGTGTACAAGGCATAAACCCAGTTATTTGATTTGAGGTATAAAAAGACTGTCAGCTTGGGAAGCCCAGGGTAAAGAGCCTCAATTGCTTTATTAACTGAATGGACAAGTGAGAGGTAATAAAGTGACCTCAGGGAACAGGCTGGTGCTTGAGGGTTCAGGCCTGGGGCCCAGAGATCTTGACGGCAGCCAGGGTGGTCCCAGGCACAGTGCAGTGGCCCATCCACCGCTCCTATCAATCCGCAGACAGGGAGCTAAAACGAAGCCACTAGATGGGCAGCGCAATCAGAAGGGAAGGTGTGTGTGTGTGTTTGTGTGTACAACAACTTCCTTTCTATACCATGTTTGGCTCGCAGTTAGATGAGGGTGGGATTCTGGCCTTCAGTAGATGCAGCCCTGCAGTGGGTATGTGAGGCTGCTGTGGAATGCACTACAGGGATGCCATGAGGGATTATTTACACTGGTGTTTTGGAAAGCTGGGGACTTTTGGGGTGAAATTGGCACTGCATAAGAACAACTGTGTGTATCAATAGATGCTTAATGTTTTTACAGAGATTAATAATAAAGTCAAACAGGAGCAAAAGACAGGCTTCTTAGGGTTTGCCCAATGAAACTTGGACCAGAGGCCCTCTGGTCCATCTGATGCCAGGATGTCCCTGACCTTTGTTACATTCATTCTTCTCTATACTCAGGATGCCCTGTGAAAACTGATGGAAGCCAGTAGGCTATCTTTGGAGCCATTATTTTCTGTCCCTTCATTTTGATTCCATTCCTTTCAGGCACTCAGTTTCTACCCGTATGTTTTGCATCGTGCATTCTGGCCCAGTCCTGATACCTGCCTCCAAAGTTTTGCACTAAGAGAATTAAGCCTTTGTGACCTTGTTTCCAATTCTGGCTGGTCTTTAATCTGTTTCTATGTTTGTGTCCTTCTAAGACATTTGATCCTGAAACCCAGGTTGGCCCAGTACGTATCTAATTCAAATTGTGCTCTTGGTTATAGCATTACCAAAGGCATATCTCAAGGCCGAAGTTAAACCTCTGCTGGAAGAAGATGGAAATGTTCAGAGAAAAATATTGCAGACTTGGTCTATATGAGTAACTTCTGAGGAACAGAGTGTTTAAAGAATATCTGCTTTTGACAAAAACTTGAGGCTCAGGGCCAGAACATTTTTTGTGAAATAGCAGGCCCATTTTCTAAGTATAAAGGCAAAACAGCTTGTTAATAACACTATCAGGTTCTTGAAATCTGTGTAAAATATGGTTCATTGGTTCAAATAAAGCTGTTATAAAATGGCACTGCTCTTTGCCTTCTGCAACTCTGCTGGTAGATAGGTCCATTCTTGTTTCTTGCCATTTCTCAGATTATGTGTTTTCCCCAAACTCAGAACCATGACCAATACGCATGTCGGGTGATTCAGTCCAAACAGATCTCCTTTCAGACAAGAGAGGCATTCAAAACACTAAATTAAATAGGCAAGTCCTGTGCCTCTGATAAGCCCAAATCATTCCTCTGGCAATATGTTTCTCTCCACCACTGATTTGTTGTCTTTTGCATTATTGGACTATTTTGGCTATATGTATATATGTATCCATTTCAGCCCCAAGCCTCCTATGCTAAGACCCCATAAAAAAGGAAGGAAAGTTATAACTGAAGTTTTACAATTAATATTACTGTCCTGACTTAAACATATTTTTGGCTATACCAATTCTCTATTAAAATATTCAAGAAGTTGGTGAATATTTTTGGAGAGAAGATAATTATGGAGGACTCTGTGTTTTTTTTAATATATGGGGTCCAAACCAGTTGAACAGATGATCTGATAAAGGCACTACCCTGCTTCTGAGGGTACCTTGTGCTTTCAACTCTTGCTGGGTTGATCCTTTTTTGAAGCTGACAGCCCCCTGGAAATGTGAGGAATAGATAACACATCTATACTTAGGTTACACTCAGAGTATATTTAGCCTGTACCAGACACACTTGAGCGAGAGCTTTCCCCAAAGATTAACTGCCAGCTGGTGTTGATGATACTCAGGGCTTCCAAGCACAGCGGGTGGGCTTTTATTTCCAGGAAATGGTTGATGTCTTAATCATAATGACTTCACTGAGCTGCCTTTGCTGTTGAAAATAGAACTTATATTTGGGAATCTTTGTTTAATGGAAGTTTCTTCCTTGGATGCCAGTCAGTCTATTATATTTGGAAAGGAGTAAAATAGCTGGCACATTCCCCTTGGGGTGGTAAGGAGGACAGTTTGCAAGGGCTGGTGTGGTTCTTCCTGACCCCATGAATGGGGACAATGTCCAAATTCAGAGTAATGGACACCCTCAGAATTTCCCAGGAACTTCATGGTAGGGTGGCAACGTGGAAAAATACACTAGCTGAAACTGAAATTTCAACCAGTGGAGATGCATATTTGTGAGGGTTGCCTAAAGGTCAAAAACTACAACAATAACCCAAAAAACTACTCTGGAAACCCCGTAAGACTAAAAAAGCATAAAACTTTGGGCATAATACTTAGTCTTTTCACAGAGGATTTCTCCTCTGAGTGATGTGCTCAGTCAGGTGAGCTATAGTTGTAGACGGTTGTGGGACACTTGAAGGATACCATGACTAGATACAGAAGAAAAGCCATTGACTGTGAACACAGGCCTCTGTGTCTTCATCCTTTCTCCAGGATCCATGTTCAGCACTTGTGTGCCTCTCCTCCAGTACTGATTGCTTATGGTTAGAACCCAACCTCCTTGGCAGGTGCCTGTACTGTATACCATTTGTTAAATATTTTGAAAATCAGCTCCACATGGCAGGAACTGAGTTCTGAAGAGTAGCGTTTTAAGGAATGAGGATGGTTGCAGAAGTGACTCTCCTAGATGGAAAGTCTCAGTCTGACAGCTGTCAACAAGGTGGGGATATGATGGTGAAGGAGAATTGAATGGACCGTCCAAGCTAGGAACCGGTGGTTCTGAGTATTTTAATGCCTTTGTTCAAGCAAAAAAGGTCTAAGCATAAAAAACATGGTGACGTGGGAAGCTCAGGGAAATGAGCATGAGCTGAAAAGAGACAAGGCTAGTTTCAGGAAACGGAGGAGAACGCTGAGGCTGTGAGGCCAGTAGTGTGTCTGACGAGCATGATAAGCAGGGATGGAATGTGAATGGCTGGCTGCAACTGGTCGCCAGTCGTGTGGCAGGTTCAGCTGGCTGCTGTGGTGGCAGACACAGCCTGAGTGTCCTGCCCTCTTAACTTTTTCTCTTCCTCCTGTCTGGCATCCCCACTAGGGGTCTGGCCTCAGCGGGAGCTTGTCTTGAGGTGTGCTGAGACTGAGACTCCTCTCCAAGTCCTCATTTTGTCAGTGCTGAAAACTCTGAAGGGGAAAAGTTCAAGAAGTCAAACTTGCTTTCTACTGTGGCTCTGGTATATTGCCAGTTCTTCAACTTTCAAATGCGCAATGTGTAAAAAAAAAAATCCAGCATACGAAAACATTGCCTTTTCCTATCAATTCGCTATGTTTCCAACAGGCAACAAAATGTAACAGGACTTCTGAAAATGCTAGGCATTGGGCTTCAAGATGTGGTTTCTTTCCTTGAGCAGGTCAACCGTCTACTTTAAGCTGAGATGTGATGTAACACTAGATGTTATTCCTTTCCTTCACACCAGCACAATGGGCTAGTGAGATGGGCATAAAGTGAACTTGGATAACATGAAAATTCTCCTCCCAGCAAATCACATGTGGCTACTTGAGAGTGGGTGTTATCCATGAAGATCTGCATGGTCTCTTACCTTTAGGCACGCTTTAGGTTTCACCCTTCTGATGTTGTTTGGAGAGGTGAGAGGAGACATCTCTTGCTTCCTGGAAAGGATGTATGCTGTGATTAAGGATTTTCAAGTTGTAGTATGTATGTAGCCAGTTTTCATAATATATTGCCCTGGTAATAGACCAAAGACACACATTCAGGTGGTCTGAAAGTCCCTGGAAAATTGACGGTTCTTTCGCAGAAGCGAAACTCAGTCTTCTCCAAAAAGGTTGAGGTGGACAGGGCTGGGATTGGACAAATCACTCTGAGCAGAGGACCAGCACTGTGAGTTCTTGTCATTCTCCAGTGGAGTTGGAGAGATCACTATTGAAGCAAACAGCCTACATCATAGTCTCATCTTGTGACTTTTTTGTGCTAGGTGTAAACTTCATTCGCAGAGGCAGAATCTGTGTCATGGCATGTGGAAAGAGACTTTCTCTCTTTATCTGTACCTCAGACTAAGCCCTAAAAAGCTATAGGCAATGAGCCAAAAAGTAGCTCAATATTCATTTCCCAAAGGAACAGACTTCATTTCTGGGAAGAAGAGGACTTGTTCTTCAAACAGCTACCACCCATCATCTAAGTTTGTCTTATAAACCAGAAGAGTGGGATTCATTGCATGAGTTGTTTCAGTGGAAATTCATTGAAGTAAAGTCAGTTATATGTCTTACCCTCAGGAGAAAGAAAAGGAGGTGAAAAAGACGTTGGTTTCTTTGCACTCTCTCATTAGTCAAACAAAAATGGTGGAATAAAACCCACAATGGCTTCTTGTAGTCTTTGTGGTTGTCTACTAGAAGAGATGAACATTTCACAGTTTCTAGCTGAATGCCTCATGGGTTTCAGAAACTTATTTGCTTGCCTTGGGCTGCTGTAAGAGCACAGAGATCACTAGAAAAGTTTACAGGTGTCCTGTGGAAAAGTCTGAAGGAGACAGATTGAGAAGAACAGCTCACAGCAGCAAGGCAAGAAGAACAGGGTAGTGGCTGAACAAAGCATACTTCCACTTCTTTTGGGGGGCAAGTATATACCCCTCAAGCTATGCCATGGGAAACATGACAAGCTAACATGGGAAAGGACTCGGAATGAAGCTGTCTTGAAAGAATGTCTGTTGGGGAGAAGGGTGTTCAGAGGCGTACTGCCAGGAAGAGCGGCTGTCCAGGGTGGGGGCCACAAGAGCTTGGCCATGTGAAGCATTGTTTGGACTAGGCACAGTGCCACAAGAAGTCCCCAGGGTGGTCTTCAGCTCCCATAGCTGCTCCTTCCACACAAAAATACAGCCAGGATTTTTATGAAAGATTCCCTCAAAAAAACCAAGAAAGCATCGAGCACTGTACCACTCAAGTAAAAATTGTTTTTCTCTCTCTTGTCCCTTTTTTGCCTGGAGAGCCAGAAGCACACACTGGGTAGAAAGAAGAATGGAAAGAGGTGTCAAGAGAGAGAAACGGCAGCAACTCCTCCCCACATGCTGATTGCCAAGCCAGAAGTTGAGACTGAGCTGGAAGGAGAAGTTTTAATTAGATCCTTAACTAAGATTTTGGTTTAGAATGGTCTAGAATGGACTTTTTTTTTTCATTCCCAAAGCTAGAACAAACCTTTAGTGCTTAAAACTGACTCAAAAAGGAATGGAACCTGTTCAGTTCATTGGCAGAAGGTCACAAAACCACCCCCTGATTATATCACAACTGGCTAAACTCTGTATAAACCTGATTTAAAAAAATATATATTCCAAAAGTATCAGTATAACTAATAGCTATCTTGGCTTTCTCTGAAGGGGGCAGAAGCATAATGCTTTTCAAGGCAAAAGTATCATGGGGAAGACCTAGTCCAGAGCATCATGTCCTTCCCCAAGCCAAGAGAAAGCTCTTCTCTCTTGGGGTGACCAATCTAGTGTTTGCTTATCCTTTTTTCTCTGTAGAAAGGATTCATGTTATAGGTTCAACTCTACTTCCTAATAGGAAGATGGTCAGTTATAAGCGAACTATACCCTTGGGAACTCTTCTGATACCTTAAACTTAATGCCCTTCAGAAGAATCCAGAAATATATTTCCATCATATATATTTATGCTAAGAATCAAAAACAGGTAATGATTTGTTTTTTCTGCTCCAAAGCATTTTCTTTCTTCTAAGGGTTCATTTTAAGAGACCTAGTAATTATAAGCTCAAGGAAGAAATAACAATAGCTTCCCCCATGAATGATGGGACAATAATCATTTATAATGGTCCTAGTTGGGTCTCTTCCTTTCCTACAAATTGCCCTGCTTGACCACATCACAACCATTTTTTTTGGCTGTATACTGGTGGCCCTGTATTAAATGTCTCAAGAGAATGTTTTCCAGAGAATAATGACACTCTGCTAAGGCCCTTGAAGACTTCCTGGAGCTTTTCTTTGATAGTCTTTTTTTTTCTGTGGGTGATAAAGTGTTGTTTGAGTCTTGCTCCTTCTTGACAGAGCCATGGACAGGAGAAAGAGGCAGAGACAGGGGCAGGGGTAGAGACAGAGACAGGAGAAAGAGATGAGCAAGAGTTCAGAAGTGAAGAATACTGGGCTCTATTTCCAACTCTGGCATGGACTTCCAATGAGATTGGAAGCTCAAAGTCAAATACGTTGTTGAGTAACTTGAACCTAGAGAGCTGCTCATGGTATTCAGAGCCTTTCTGGAGGCTTTGCTTCTGTTTGGAAAAAAAGTCAACTCATAATGCTCAAATTATACTCTAGATGGCTTTTTCCTTAATTTCAAACCCAAGTACTAAATTCTAGCTTTTGTTAAATTTTTCCCTCTGCAGTAATCAGATTTCTCATTACTAATTTACTATTTTAAGTTCTTTTCAGTTTGACCACCCAGCTGCCTGCATGGTATAAGAGAAGCGCAGAGAGTGTCTTCCCAGCTTTCAAAAGTAGAAAATGTTAGCAATTGGAGGATTCACTGCCAAGAAAAGACCAAGTAAATGAAAGCATCTTTGTTGGGATTTTCTCATTTTGCAGGAACTATAGGATGAAATTTATGAAACCTTTTTTGAAATTGGAATTTTATGTCTTAGGACTTAGGTCTGTGTTTCTCTCATCTTGCTGAAAATTGAACCAGAAGCAAAGAGGTTGGATTGTCCAACTTATACCTAGATTTGGCTTTAGTTGATGCAAAAAAATCTTTGCATCAGATCTCTCCTATTTGGGCCAAATTAATGTTGCAGAAAAACCAGTATCAAACCAAATGGAAGACTGTTGCACCAAGGAGTGAGAAGGCAACTTTTTATTATGCTAGCAGGCTAGGGAATCAACCCAAAGGCTCAAATCACCATCCCAGAGTCAGGTCTGAGTTCAGTTTAAATATGGTTTGCAAGTGGGTAGTACAAAACTGATAGCAGGTCATTACATGGTTGGATACATGGATTACATGAATTAATTCATGTGTTTTCAGGCAGATTTACTTAAAAGGAATCATTTATCATTAGACAGGAACATTCTGGGAAAGAGGGAAGAGGGGTGTGAGTGGAATAAGCAGAGTGAAATGGGTCCTTGACTAGGCCAGTCTGTCGCAGATGTGAAGTCCTTGAAGCAAGATGGAAGCAATATATATTTTTCTAACTAAGGAAAGCACAAGCTGGACACAGTCAAGTTGGGCCAGAGCATTATCATAGAGAAGTAGATAGTCAAGGCTGACTGACTGCAGCTAGCTATGTGACTGGCAGCATGAGCATAGACACAGGTTAGGAATTAATTTCTAACTTTTGCTAGAATATGCCTACAAGTCTGCTATTTTGCATGCCCTTACATTAATAGACCTCACTTAATTTTAAAGTGCATTAGTATTGTTACTTTTGTATTATGCAAATGAGACTAAGGTTGAAGCTGACTTAGTGAGGGACAGATACTTCTCAAATAGTCAAAAAACCAGAGCAAAGGCTTTTAAAGGCAGAAGCCAGCATGCATTCATGTTGTGCTCCTCGTTCTCCTTGCTGGGACTGGGATCCAGCACAAAGACTGCTGGCATTGTTCTGAGACATTTTTACTCTTCTGGCAGAATAGACATATCCACAAAGCCCCAGACTTTAACTGATCACTGAGGTAGCCCACTTCAAACAGTAGGTGACCCAGATTCATAGCACTGCTAGCTGGCTTTCACTTCCCCTTGTCCTGCTGTCTGGTTACTTCTTTCACTTCTTTCCAAGATTCACCCAACATGTCTGACAGCTTTGAGTATTAATGCTGGTTATAATCTTTCTTGGAGGCCCACCTCTTCTTGACACTGTGACTTAGCTTCCAGCTGCAGCTTCTCTTCTCTTAAGGGTTTGTTGACCTCTTCTCTTTTCTTAGAGTGCCAGTATTTGTCTGTTCCTTCTTGGCCCGCAGCTGAAGATACGCAGTATGCCTTGACATCATTTCCTGTAGAGTAGGAGCACATGAGGACCACATGCTGAAGGAAATATTTTGAAAACAGGAATGTTTGAGAAGATTAGAAATTTTTCGATTGGACGGTTCTTACCTCCTGAAATCATAAGTCTGTGGAGAGTTAGAATTTTGGCAGTTTTGGTTACTTAGTTCTGAGATTATCCTACACAATTCTGAGACAACCAGTTAGTGCAGTTTATCACTATTTTGGCCTAAATCATGCAAATATGATTATGTCTACTTATCCCTAGAAACAGTAACCCTTGGCATAGAGGTTAAGAGTATAGAGGCTGGGGATTTAGCTCAGTGGCACAGTGCTTGCCTGGCAAGCACAAGGTCATGAGTTCAATTCCTGGTACCGGAAAAAACAAAACAAAACAAAACAAAACAAAACAAAAAAACAAAACAAAACAAAGAGTATAAAGTTCAATGCAGTGGAATTAGAAAAATGTCCATTTTTTTTTCTTTTTTTTTACTATGGGCAGGGAATTATGCTAAAGAATGTATGAAATCCAAAGATGAACAGAGAAGATGTGAACATATCACGAGATGTCCTAAAAATCTCTACAGAAAATTGAATTTACCTGAGAAGTAGACATATCAGAGGAAAACCAGCAGAAATACTCTTGTGCAAAAACACAAGAATAAATATTTCTCAAGACTCTTCTTTGTTAATACTTCAGTGAACTGCAAGAGCAGCAATAAAGGTGAGAGTAATGAAAAGAAAAGGAAATCTCTAAAAGGTGAGGAGGAGCCATAGCAGATGTAAGAATATCAGATGACACAGAAATGTCTCAAGTAACTGATGAGGCTGAAGTTTGCTTTCCATAGATAATGATGGCCAGGACACGTATGTCTAATATTGCTCTTCTAAAAACTCTTCTAAAATCTGGCAATAAAACTATTTTTAAAGGCATAAGGCTATAAAGATGAGAAGCAAGCCACCCTTGACGTTTTTAGAGTTCCCAAACAAGACCGCAGCTGTCCATGCTGTATGTTCAAATATCAAAGGTTATAAATCAAGCTAGCAAACTTTTTTTTTTTTTTGTGGTACTGGGGATCGAACTCACGACCTTGCGCTTGACAGGCAAGCGCTTATGCCACTGAGCTATATCCCCAGCCCCAAAGCTAGCAAACTTTTATAATTTACCTTACCACCTTGACAAACACATCTCTGCAATGACAAAGTCGAAGTATTGGGATGTATTTGCATCATTTGACACCAACTAGCTCCAGAAAGCACAATTTCAAAATTCATTTCTCTTTTGCCGAAGCTGTGACTTCTTTGGGGAGAGGTGGTGGCACACACACAACACTCCATCCCTTACACACATGAAGTTTTATTCTCATCCCTTGCAGAGAGCCCTAGCGCACATGCTCAGGCCTAGGGTGTACACACTGGAGAGGCACTCTGCTGTACTGGGCCAGAAAGAAACCCTTGTAGGCCCCACATGACCTGAAGACTACTTGGAAAGCAAATTTAAGGATCTCATATAACCAGAGTGTGATGTCCAAAAAGATGGAAAAGACTGAGTGGTCATAGCCCTTACTTTAAGAAATCTTTGCCTCATAGATTTTGGTTTTTGGTTTTTTTTTTTTCTGGTACCAGGAATTGAACTCATGACCTTGTGCTTGCCAGGCAGGCGCTGTGCCTCTGAGCTAAATCCCCAGCCCCGACCTTTGCCTCATAGAGATGCAAGCAGATCTTGCCCAGCTCTAAGGCAAAACCAATGAAATGAACTGGAAGCCAGAGTAATACAGTTTTTGAAACTCAAAAGCAAATGCAAAAGCACTGACTGACTTAACAGACATTAAAGGTTTGATTCTCAGCTAGCACTGGGAAAGGGAAGAACCAATCTGCTTCACTCTACAGTCTTCAAAAGGCTCTGGATTTGGGGACTGTGAGAGGTGTTGGCTCAGGGACTTCCCAAAGTGAGGATCTTTAAGAAGAAAGAAGGAAAGATTGAGAGCTGTTTATGAAATGGTGAGATGCTCAGATCTTCTCTTTGACTTCACAAATGTTAGGCAACCAGTCTTTTCACACCCAGGAACAAAGCTCAGCATATTGTCTAGAAAGCAAAAAAGAGGGTCTGTGTCTACACAGGGTGCCAAACTAAAAATATGGGGTTTAAACCAAAATATGTCTGTGGAAAGTACAATCTCTCCTCCAATCTCCAGCTGTCTTCTCCCATTCTGTTCCAGAATATGGACATGAGGCAGAAAATTAGAAGATCTTTTCTGGAAAAGATGACCAGATTTCCCCAGAAAAACACTCTTCCTCATCTAGTTAGACCTACTAGTCAGCCCTACTAGTCAGATAATCAACAATTAGCAGCGCTCTGAAAAAGGATTCTAATAAGAAGTGGAATGAGAGTAAAGCATTCTGAAGGGAGCTGCATGAAAAAAATCTTCAAATAATATCTTCAGAGAAAAAAAAAATTAAAAACAACACCTGTGAATGAAGAACAAGCTGCCATAAAAAGTAATACTCTGAGAATATAAAAGAACTCTTAAAAATTAAGAACAAAACTTGATAGAAGCATTCCAAAGAAACCTTAGAAGATAACATTGAAGAAACCTCTTCAGAAGGTAGGGCTCTCTCCATCATCTTGAGTTGAATTGTCAAAATCGATGTACAATATGCTAGTTTTGTTACATATCATGACCTAAGACAAGAACTGAGGAATGAAGAGAGCTCTGAAAGGTTAGTAAAACTTGAAGATAGAGTCTTTGTGGACAGAGAGCTGAGACCTTCAGCCTGTGGTTGCTGTCAATTCATATCAACCCCACAGAGAGGGATTGTGGGGATAAATACTCTGACTTTACTTTTCTTCCTCTACCAAGTGTTCCTTAGGGGCTTCCTAAACTGTAGCTAAGTGCAAGCTAGAGAGAAAGGCAACTCTTTTATTTTAGTCCACCCCAGACTCAGAGGATACAAGCATTTGGAGAGTGGCTCTGAAGGTAAAGGAGATGGTATCCAGCTGCCTTAAATAGCACAGGACTAGAGAGTGTTACAGACTCAATGGACACACTGAGTAGGGTCCTGAACCCTATAGGAGTAGGGATACAGTACAGGCCATGCTCCTAGGATTCTAAAGCCCCTTAGAGTGCTAGGTCTGAGGGAACTGACCAATAGTATTACAGGTAATGGCCCTGGGACGTTGTGGGACAGCCTGAAAACTACCTCAATTCCAGGGCATGTATTTCTGGGCACTTCAAGGAGACTGTCCTCATTATAACTATGGCACCCAGGTTCCCTGAAAACCTTTCTCTCTCTCTCTCTCTCTCCATCCTGTGTGTGTGTGTGCACGCATGTGCACAAAATAGAAAGCCAAAGGGATCATCCCTGATGTACAGGAGTTCATTTCTCAGTAGCACATATGTATGTACTCAACAATGTTGACACGTTGGCTAGACTTGAGAGATTCAGGAATGGATACTTGGTCTTTGTCAGGCCAATTTGAATCCTTCCACAGGATTTTTCTAACTGGAAGTATACTAATATTAGTTTCTATCTAGTCCAGGTGAAAGAGGTATTACTAAATGGAGTATTCAGCTGTTGTTTGGTGTCCTATTCCTGCCACTTGGAAGTAGCCATCTGCTTTGAGAAGAAACAGTCAATCCATGGGAAGCAGAGGTATCCAGGAAGTGCTCGGTTCCTAACCTTGACATTGAATATTCAATTCTTTAATAATGTAAATTACCCAAATGTTCTTTTAATAAAAATTCTTTCTTGTAAATGTTGATTGAGTTGCATTTCTAGCAGCATTTGTACTAATTTGGTCACATTTACTACTGATTACAATATGGATCAGATGATAAAATTCAGAAGCTAGAATGATCCTTATGGACAAGAGAAGGAAGATGAGAACCTGGAGTAAAGCTGTGACATAGGTTAAGGAGGGTTCTTTGGTTACAGAGTATTCCAGGCAGGGAAAATAGCATACAAGAAAGGTGGTCCCAACTCCAAAGATATACCTTACACAGACTAGTTGGAGTCAGAATGTGTCTTGTTAGAGACAGCTGAAAAGGAGTTTCCCAGTTGAGAACTTTGAATACTAAAGAAGTCTGTGCTTTATTAAAACAGTCATTGAAATATTTGGACATGGATGTGATACTATGAACGCTGCATTTCAGGAATAATAACTGAGTAGTCAGGGTTAATTGAAGGGAGTAAGAAAGGATGTTAGCTACCCAAGTTGGAAGGCAATGATGTGAGTGACCAGGGCCTGGAGAGAAGTGGAAATAAAGAGGAGGGAAGGTATGTCTTATGCTTTTCTGTACCCTTTACATTACTTAGCAGAGTGACCAGTACCTTGTAATTGCTTAACAAATTCTTGAAAATAAGTAAGAAATTTAAATCAAGTAATACTAGGTCCACATTATCAACACACAATATTATAGGTTAAAAATTTAAAATAACTACCCAGAATTATATTTTTGAATTGCTGAAGATGCTCAGTTTTCAGTATTTTAGTTGAGACTGAATAACCCCAGGTAAATTAATTGGAAAGAAATACATGCGCTTCATTGTTTTGAACTAAAAATTTCCTTCAGGTTGCAGACAGGAATCAGTTATTAGTGGAAAGTGAGTGCATCTGCTTGTTAAGAAACTTACTTTCCTTATATCTCTGAAATCTATTTAGACCACTCTATTCCATATTCATCATTTCATGAGACCATACAGTACTTTCAGTCACTTACTGAAGTGTTAGTATTTTACAACCAAAACATTAGCCTGATGAAAATATAGGAAATGTTACTTTTCTTTTATAAATTATCTTTAGAAACAATAGCTAGAACAAAGACTGCCCATAACAATTCAGGAATATAGAACATTCAGTTATCTTAAATATTCCGTGGATGCAGAGATCCATCACTTTGAATGTTCTTGCTTTGATTTGTTTATGTTTGTGATACTGGTATGCTGCTACTGTTCTATTTTTTTTGTTTGTTTCTCACTTACTACTCTCTTTAAAATAAAAAAAAATATTCCATGGATCTTATATCTTAAATACTTTACTTCCAGTTTTTTATTATTCTCCTTTTAAAAAATAAAACACCATACCACCCACCCATCCTTTAATTTAACTTAAATGAGAGGGGCTCTCACTCTTTCCCAGGTTGGCCCCTAACTCATGGACTCAAGGAATCCTTTTACCTCAGTCTTCTGAGTATCTGGGACTATAGATATTTGCTACACCACCCTGGAATTTTAGAGGAACAGCAAACACACAGTTAGGGGTTACATTCCCCAGCTTTCTTGAAGTTAGATTTTATCATGTAAATGAGAACACCAACTGAAACATAAGCAGAAGTGATATAAACAATTTCTATGTCATTTTCATTAAAGGAAATGACTTGGTTTCCATGACTTCTCTCCTTTCTATCAGTGGAAAGGCAGTTATGACAGCAAACAAGTTTTGATCATACAGAAGCTTTGACCACACAGAAGGCAATGTCCTAGAATAAGGCTGAGCAAAAAGATGGTAAAACTTGTGTCCCCATACGATGTTGAATAGGGAAGTTCACCTGCCTTGGATGGTTAGGTAGAGCTGGCTAGTAGATAGGGCACATGAAAGTAACTTTTAAGACTTTCTGTGGGAAACGTACATTTGAACCATATCATAAAGGTCTCTGAGTGCCAGGTAGAGAGTTGCGAGTTGACACCAAAGGTATTGGGTAGCAATGGAAGATCTTTAAGAGATTTCTTGAGGATGAGAAAAGATCTTGAAAAGGCAGTAGTATAGTAGGGAAGGATTGGAGAGTTGAAGCCTGTGATCCATTGAGAACCAACTGAAATAATGTTATAGAGGAGGCTTCTATCTAGATTAGTGGTGGGAACAGGAATGGGAGATTGAATTTAAGAGATATGGAAAGACATGCTTTAGAGAGGGAGATTCCAGGGTTAGACTTTCTAGGGCTTAATAACCATCCCAGTTATTCCGGGATTGGGGTGTTCTTTGGGATGCAGGGATATAGTTCCTAGAAACTGGAAAGTCTTAGGTGGACTAGGACAGTTGATCACCAACCCATTGCACAAGAATATTTGATAAATGAATAAACAAAACAGTTACTTGTCACATTGAAAGCGAAAATCGTGGAAAGAAAAGAAAAAACAAATATCAGGTATTCCTAAAACATGATAAAGTTTTGCCTGTGGTTATTCTTTTCAAAGATTAGGGCAGAAGGATCTGTAAAATAATCAAGACAAAAGAAAACCCTCCTAAAGAAGAAATCACAAAAGTAAGACAGAAACCACAGTAGCCCTTCATGTATCTGAAGATTTGGCTCAGGACTGGGTTCGACCTTGTCACATACATAGTTTTCTATTGTTACATGAAAATTACTGCAAACTGAGCAGTTTAAAATAACATCCAGAGGAAGGACTTCTGGAATGACAGTAAGCATCTCTGAAAATCTTTTCTTCCTAAAAGCAATGAATAGTTGGCAAAATTAACTTTTTCAGACCTCTAATGTGTTAACCAAACATTTCAGCCATATGAGTAACATTTACTTATTCAAGAATAACAGCTGAATCTCACTAAGACAGTGAGAATTTGCCTTTGAAAATTGTCCTAACCTCATCTGCTCTTAAACTCCATGACAGCTTCGACAACCAGCAACCTTACAACCACCATGATGAGGAATACTAGCAGCCTCTCCTTTACTGGAAGGGGATGGAAAAAGGTTGGAAATTTTGAAACAAACAAACCAAAGCATACAGAACAACAATAACAACAAATAATTCCCTAAGAATTGTCATTATTTGATCCACCTGACAGCTTCTTGGGAAAATTTCATTTCCAGGGTCTGTTTTTATTTCATCTGAATCAGAGATTATGCAGTAAGAGAAACCCAATCCATAGGATCTTTATTTAAAACAATCACATCTAAGTTATTTAACAATGCATATGCCTGAAGCTATAACATCGCTGTGACAAACAAAAGACTGGCAAACAAAACAAAACAAAACCTTAAAGGAAAGTCTCAGGAATGAGCTCTCTACAGGGGGCTTTGAATAGCTCCAATATATTCCTGGGTACTTACAAAGCTATAGAAAAATTCAAGGCTTAGTCTGTCCCAGAAAGACCAGAGGAGGTCCTATGATCTCACTATTGGTTGATGTTGAGATCTGCTCAAGCAGGTCATGAGGCTAAGTCAGGGTTGCAAACTATATTAGCACTGAAGTTTCATGCTAACACACACACACACACACACACACACACACACACACACACACACACACAGGAATCCTTTGCAGAGGCTGGAAAACTTGTTCATTTCAGACTTTTAAGTACATCTCTGTCCAAGGGAACTAAAGTGGCACACCAGAGTGTACCTATTTAAAACAAAAGGAGGAAGAAAGAATAGAGAAACAGAAACTTAAGACACACAAAAAACAGATAGCAAATATAAATTCTATCCTA